TAAGATGGACAAGCAAATGCTACCCTCTGGTTTCCATATATGTGCTATGTAACATGGGCATTCCAACTAGACACAGGAACATGTACACACACATACAGACACGCACGACCGTTTAAAAATATTTTACTGTATTAGTATTTGAAAAAAAATGGCAAATTAAAAACCAAATCAATATGAAGTTGAGTACAGTTCTTTCAAGGTCTGTGAAGAATTTTTCTGGGATTTTGATGGGCATTACATTGAATCTTTAGATTGCTTTTGGTAAGATTGCCATTCTACCTGTCCAAGAGCATGGCAGATCTTTCCATTTTCAGGTGTCTTCTTCAATTTCTTTCTTCAAAGATTTAAAGTTTTTGTCATACAAGTCTTCCACTTGTTTGGTTAGAGTTCCTCCCAGATATTTTATGCTATTTGTGGCTATTGTGAACGGTGATGTTTCTCTGATTTCTTTTTCAGCCCATATATCATCTGTGTACAGGAGGGCTACTGATTTTTTTTGAGTTAATCTTGTATCCTGCTACATTACTGACAGTGTTTATGAGCTGTAGAAATTCCTTGGTAGAATTGTTGGGGTCATTTATGTAAATTATTGTATCATCAGCAAATAGTGAGAATTTGACTTCTTTTTTAGATTCATATCCCCTTGAACTCTTGATCCAGTGTTAACCTATGTCTTTATTTCCAGTAGTACATTTTAAAAAGACTATATATAAATATATCTTTTTATTATTGTTATTATTAACCAATTGTTATTGTTCATGCTTTAATAAAAGACATATTCAAAATATAGACACAATGGGGGCTTTAATCATTTGAAAATTGAAAGCATTTTATTGACTCAAATTACAAAAAAAAATGAGGTACTTAAGCATTCATCAGAGTGACCTAAATATACACTGAGTGTGAAGTTTTCTAGATCTTAAGTACAGAGCAATCTATTCTAAAAGGAGCCTGATCTGAAGGGATTTATTTTATTTATTTTATTTTTTGAGAGAAAGCAAGTGGACAGCACATGGAATGGACTTGGCAGGGGGTTGGGTGAGGAAAAGAAAAATAATTCCAGTTCAATGGTGTAGATCATATTTCCAACAAGATCATGTAAAAATTTCCCAAAGTTGAGAACAGACACATTCAAACAGACAGAAGAAGCACACAAAACTCGGAATAGACAAGACCAAAAAAGAGACAATCACAAAATATTACATTTAAAATACTAAATATATAGAACAGAGTGAGGAGCCTGATAACTGCAAAATTAAAACCACAGGTCAAATACAAAAGAAAGCTTATAACATTAAAAGATAATTTCTCTAAGATCACGAATTATAGGCTCAATGTCCTTTATTTATGGCTAGAAAACAATTATGAGTGAGTACATCCCATGTTCCTCTTTTTGGGTCAAATTCGTGATCCTAGAGAAGCTAAATAAGAAGGTGAACCCAAAGAAAAACATATAGTCATCCTCCTGGATATAAACCTTCATCAGGCAATGAAAGGAGACAGAGACAGAGTCCTACATTGGAGCACCAGACTGAAACCTCAAGGTCCAAATCAGGAGCAGAAGGAGAGAGAACACGAGCCAGGAAGTTAGGACCGCGAGGGGTGCACCCACACACTGAGACAATGGGGATGTTCTATCGGGAACTAACCAAGGCCTGCTGGCCTGGGTCTGAATAAGCATGGGATAAAACCGGACTCGCTGAACATAGCGGACAATGAGGACTGCTGAGAAGTCAAGAACAATGAAACTGGGTTTGGTTTTTTTTTTGTTTTTTTTGTTTTTTGTTTGTTTGTTTGTTTGTTTTTACTTTGAATGGTCAGTTGTCTTTTTTATTTAGAAATTGAGATTATTAGCCTAGGATAACAAAACATCAGAAACCATTGACCAATACAAATAAACAAAAACAAACCACAAAAACCAATCAAAAAAACCAAACAACCAAAAACAAACAAATAAATAAACAAAATCAGCTGGGGGAGAGGCTCCCAGCCTAAATTCTGCTATTAAGTGACTGTGTAACTTGGTGAGATTTATTGCATGACTTAAATCTCTTTCAATATCAATTACATTTTTTTAATTGAGAAAAGGAGAAAAAAAACAAGTTCCACCTCGTCCCAGGCTCCCGTATCCCTCCCCCTCCTCCCACCCTTCTCCCCATCCCCCCACTCCTCTCCCCCTCCCTCTCCAGTCTAAAGAGCAGTCTGGGTTCCCTGCCCTGTGGTAGGTCCTAGGTCCTCCCCCCTCCGTATATATCTAGGAAGGTGAACATCCAAACTGGCTAGGCTCCCACAAAGCCAGCACATTACGTAGGATCAAAACCCTGTGCCATTGTCCTTGGCGTCTCATCAGCCCTCATTGTTCGCCATGTTCAGAGAGTCCAGTTTTATCCCATGCTTTTTCAGTCACAGTCCAGCTGGCCTTGGTGAGCTCCCAATAGATCAGCTCCACTGTCTCAGTGGGTGGGTGCACCCCTCGTGGTCCCGACTTCTTTGCTCATGTTCTCCCTCCTTCTGCTCCTCATTGGGACCTTGGGAGCTCAGTCCAGTGCTGCAGTGTGGGTCTCTGTCTCTATCTCCATCCATCACCAGATGAAGGTTCTATGATGATATGCAAGATATTCGTCAGTATTGCTCTAGGATAGGGTCATTTCAGGTTCCCTATCCTCAGCTGCCCAAGGAACTAACTGGGAACCTCAGCTTGGGCACTAGGGAGCCCCTCTAGGGTCAAGTCTCTTGCCCATCCTAAAGTGGCTCCCTTAACTAAGAATTGTGGTTCCATGCTCCCCTATCCACCCTTCCTTTATCCCAATCCTCCTGTTACCCCAAGTCCCCCCCTCCTTCACTTCTACCTTTTCTCTTCCCATCTCCCCTTACCCCCAACCCACCCCACCCCCAAGATCCCAATTTTCTCCCCAGCAATTTGGTCTACTTCCCTTAGCCAAGAGGATAACTATATGTTTTTCCTTGGGTTCACCTTCTTACTTAGCTTCTTTAGGTTCACCAATTGTAGACTCCGTGACCCTTATTTATGGCTAGAAACCAATTATGAGTGAGTACATCCCATATTCATCTTTTTGGGTCTGGGATACCTCACTCAGGATAGTGTTTTCTATTTCCATCCATTTGCATGCAAAATTTGAGAAATTGTTTTTTACCGCAGCGTAGTACTCTAGTGTGTATATATTCCATACTTTCTTCATCCATTCTTCCATTGAAGGGCATCTAGGTTGTTTCCAGGTTCTGGCTATTACAAATAATACTGCTATGAACATAGTTGAACAAATGCTTTTGTCATAAGATAGAGCATCTCTTAGGTATATTCCCAGGAGTAGTATTGCTGGGTCCAGGGGTAGGTTGATCCCGAAATTCCTGAGAAACGGAAACACTGACTTCCACAGTGGTTGCACAAGATTGCATTCCCACCAGCAATGGGTGAGTGTACCCCTTTCTCCACAACCTCTCCAACAAAGGCTATCATTGGTGTTTTTTATTTTAGCCATTCTGACAGGTGTAAGATGATATCTCAAAGTTGTTTTGATTTGACCCTAGAGGGGCTCCCAGGTGCCCAAGCTGAGGTTCCCAGTTAGTTCCTTGGGCAGCTGAGGATTGGGAACCTGAAATGACCCTATCCTAGAGCAATACTGACGAATATCTTGCATATCATCATAGAACCTTCATCTGGTGATGGATGGAGATAGAGACAGAGACCCACACTGGAGCACTGGACTGAGCTCCCAAGGTCCCAATGAGGAGCAGAAGGAGGGAGAACATGAGCAAAGAAGTCGGGACCACGAGGGGTGCACCCACCCACTGAGACAGTGGAGCTGATCTATTGGGAGCTCACCAAGGCCAGCTGGACTGTGACTGAAAAAGCATGGGATAAAACTGGACTCTCTGAACATGGCGAACAATGAGGGCTGATGAGACGCCAAGGACAATGGCACAGGGTTTTGATCCTACGTAATGTGCTGACTTTGTGGGAGCCTAGCCAGTTTGGATGTTCACCTTCCTAGATATGGACGGAGGGGGCAGGACCTAGGACTTACCACAGGGCAGGGAACCCTGACTGCTCTTTGGACTGGAGAGGGAGGAGGAGAGGAGTGGGGGGATGGGGAGAAGGGTGGGAGGAGGAGGAGAGAAATGGGAGGCTGGGAGGAGGTGGAAACTTGTTTTGTTTTGTTTTGTTTTCTCCTTTTCTCAATTAAAAAAAAAGATTTTTTTGATCATTCTCATTGCAAAACATTTCTGCAAAACTAGTCTATTTGGCATGACAGGACCATACTGTTGGAAATGTATATATTGTGATTTTGCAGTGAGACCAGGAAATGTAGACTTTTTCATTGGATTTATGTCTAACGTCAGATTCTAGCATATCTTAGAGTTCTCCCAATGCACAGGATGTCTTAAGGTTGCGATTATGCAGGTCATCTAGGGTCCATGAGACTCATCAGTCTGTGTGGGCATAGAGGATGTATGATCTGAGCTAAGTCTGAAGGTTGGACATGGTATGCCAGAGTAGGGTCAGAAGTATTTGTCGAGTGAGCTCCATTATTGATTATCAACTGAGGTGTGTACTTATTAGTCAACTCTTGGGAAGGCTAAGAACCTTAATGTAAATAAAAATTAAGAAAGCAGTATCATGAATATTGTAGTACCATACTGAAATAAATAAACCACAAATCACCAATTCAAACTACTGACAGGGATTAATAGGCAAATATTAAGATTTATTTAATTTTGAAAAAGAAAACAAGGTCAATGGAGTCATTTGAAAAAGCAAATTCTGTTCATGAAGTTACATTTTAAAAGGGTACGTGAAATACCTAACAATTAAAATGCAAATTAAAGTTTAGAATTTGAAACACTAGTTCTGAGGAATGTGAAGAGGAGTAAATGCTGAGAAGAAATCAAAGAGAGCTAATGCGCATTTGTTTTTGGAGCTAGTCAGCTAGGTAGAGCTAGGGAAAGTGAGTAAAAGCTACAGTGGAAGTACATGCTGTTTCTTTACTTCATTGTGTTCTGGGAACCTGATTATTGTTCCCAAGACAGAGTTTTAGTGACCTTAGTCATACAGACAAACTACATATGATCTTGGGTTTGAGTGAACTGCTTCAATTCGTCACAGAATTCAGCGGTCAAGACCCAAAGGTATTACTGATTTTGTTATTTTAAAATATTTGGTTATAACTTATTTCTGCTAAATGAGATGATATAGAAAAAATGAATCTTTACTGTTTGGAATCATTTGAGTGTATTATACCTAGAATTTCCTGGTGGACTGTGAAAAGACTAAGGTGGGGAGGAGGTTATCCTGCACATGGCCCTGGTCTCGTGCACTAGAAATTTAATGAATTTTGCCTTCACAGAGGCATGTAGCTTTGCAGCCTTCTTTAGTCAGTTCATGTTCACAGGTTACCGATGCTTTCAAAGATGGACAGTTAGAATAGTTATCTTCATAGTAACACCTGTTTGCTGAAAAAAAGAATAGAGATATTCATTACTTTGTTATTATTTTCCTCTACCAACAGTGACAAAATAAAACATGAATGTGGAGAAAGGAATTGAGTAAATGGATGAATTTCCATTAAACTGAGGCTTTGTGAGATGCCTTTTAGTAGAGTTGATATATTTCTTCACTCAAGAAAGGCTTAAGAAAACTAACTTGAGTGATTCTTTGAGGAGCTGAGCTATTGAGAGTTGAGAAAGATGGCTCAGCAACTAGAAGTCTTTGTTCTTTTTGCAGAGAAACTGGTTTTGATTTTCAGCATCTACATGGTAGCTTACGGCCACCTGTAATTTCAGCTCCATGGAACCAAGTGTCCTCTTCTGTCCTTCATAATCATGGGGCCCAAATGTAGTATACATAAATATATTCACACATGTACACACAAATATTTATAAACATAAAATAAAGAGAAATATTTTAAAAAGAAACTCATTATTTAAAATGTCAGTCATTATGCAAGTAATTTTTAAACTTAAGTACAGCTAATATTTAAACTCTATATTCTCAGCAAAACAAGTTTAATTAATATGTTCTAAAGCTACTGTGTCTAGTAATCTCTTTATGTGAAAATACGGAAATGTATTATTATTATACCTACTTCCTCTCTCTGTAACTTATTTTCATAACATTTGCACTAATAACACAAAAATGACTTGTTCTGAATCTATATCATTGAAAGAGAGAAGCAATTTATATAAGCGGTCCTTTGACTCAGCACACAATCACACACAGATGCCATGGCATACATGCATGTTCCTATTCATATACAGAGAGAAATAAGTACACATTCACAAATAAATAAAAATGTAACACAAAATTCAAAGGATGATCTGGAGGACCTTAGGAATTTTTTGTTTTAAGTTTCTTGGTAGGCAAAGAATTGTAGTATCTGTCTTCTTTCTCTGGCCTGACCTGTGTTCTATTACCTCAACTACTTAGATCTGTATTGCTTTCTCTTCTTAAAATGCTAAACTTAAGATTTTATTAACCTAGAGAATAAGAAAATTCACTTTAAATTTTACTGAATTACATCCACAGAAATATTTCTCTAGACTCCAATAGCAATAATACCAATACTGATACAAGTATGCACTGGTTTTAGATGTTTCATTAGACTACATAAAGTATCATGTTTTTCAATGGCAAAAGTACACACACCATAAACAAAGGATTTTGTAATTCAAATAAATGATGTGAACTACATTTTTGCCTCTTGAACATAAGGCCATGCTATGAAATCTTAAAACAGATTGTCATTTTATGTTGTTATATTTGTATATTAATAACACTTACTGCACAGTCCATCGTCACAGTGATTAGGACAACTGCCACATGGTTTTCCTACTGTGTACGGGGTGTATAGCCTGTTCACAAAATTGCCACTGAAATTGAAAAGCAAAATATAAAATATTTTTAATTTTTCTCTGTATACTCTAATGCTTGCATATATCACACACATATACATATATATATATACACAAACAGATATATGGATTGCTATTAAAATCTTTAGCTACGTCACATAAAAATCTAACATTGTCTAAGAGTATTCAGATAGAGATGTGAAATAAGGGGATAATTAATGCCTTCACTCTTCAACCATGTTCTATTAATGTGAGCAACTGAAATACAATAAATAAGACTCTAAAAGTTTAGAAACACTTTAATGTAGAAACATTCTCTTCATTTCCTCATGAACCTGGAAAATTTCTAAGACAATGAAGCACAGGATGCTGCTTAGGTATAAAAGATGCTTTCTATAGACACAGAAAAATGCTATTATTTCTGCCTGATTCCTACAGTATGGGAGAGGTCCCCATGATGATGTGGTGAGGTTCAAGAATTTAAGCACAGTAAAGTTTGGGATTTTACGGAGGTAGCATGTGGGTATGAGACTTTTATGATTATAAAAACTGAGAATGTTAATTAGAAAAACACTTTATAAAACCCATCTTAAAAGTGCAGTACTCTGATAGTGACAGCCTGTGCCTCGGGAGGATCGTCACTTCACTGACTGGCATATGAAAATAGAGGAGTGAGATTCTCCATTGCGCTAAGGGTGGCAGGGGTGTGCACACATTCTCCAAGGACTTGCAGCAGGCCCTTTCTTCTGTATATTGCTCTATGTGTTTGAGTAATCTTAAAATGAAAAGTCATAAAGTGTTGTACAAGTTCTGCCACGTGCTTCTCTTCATTATTCATCTGATCCTTCTTGGTGCCAGACTCCAGGTGCCTCTCATTTGGACCAGACAGCTGGTAGAGTGCAATGGCTTCTTTCTTTGTATTTTTCATAAGGCCAAAAAAAAACATTCTTGAAAATTCTTAGAAGACTTTCCTTTTCAACTGAGATGCCACACCATCTGTGTCACCCACAGACAGAGTAGAAATGAATCACTTAAAAGGCTTGATTTGAAAAGATTCTCAGACACGTGTTACATAAGTTTCTTGTATTGAGAAGATACAAATAGACGCAGAGAGATGTCTCAGCAGTTAAGAGAGCACATGCCTCTTTTAGAAGACTTGGGTTTGGTACCCAGCACACACTTCAGGTGATGTACAACTGTTTGTAATGCAGTCCCAGGGGATTTGATGCCTCTGGTCTCCATAAGCATCTGCACCTATGGGCACACACTACACAAGGACAAACATACATGCAGATGTAATTTAAAAAAAATATTTTTGGTTTGTCGAGACAGGTTTTTCTGTAGCTTTAGAGCCTTTCCTGGAACTAGCTCTTGTAGACCAGGCTGGCCTCGAATTCACAGAGATCCGCCTGCTTCTGCCTCCCGAGCGCTGGGATTAAAGGCGTGAGCCACCACCACCCAGATAATTAAGAAAAATTAGGTTAACATACAGATTATGAACATATATTTGTTTTTTCATGGGAAAGTTTTAAAGAGCTTCCATCACAGAAGGGAAGTGAATTTCTGTCTTTAAAATTAAGTTCCACTGAACATGATTTTTAGAATTTTTAGTAAATTTTGAGGAGAAAAGAATTAAGATTTTAGCTTTCTTAACTGTTGGAAATATATTAAAGACTTCTAAAAGAGCCTTTGAAGTTTAAGATTTAATAAATTCTTACAGGTATAAGGTAGCAACATGGGGCTGGAAAGAAGGTTCAGTGGTTAAGAAATTTTGCTGTTCCTTTGGAGAATCCATGTTTGATCCCCAATAACCATATCAAGTAGGTCATAATCACCTTTAACTTCAGGTCTATGGGATTCAATGCACTTTTCTGGTTTTGTGAGGTACTGTGCATATGCATAAACAAAGCAACAAAAATAAGATTGAAAAATAACTATTAGGCTACTCATTATTATGATTTTGCAAAAATATAACACTCTTGGTAATTTTTACCCTCGGCAGCTTACATAACACCATCTAATACTATGAAAGCTAGTCTGCAGGAAGGAAACTTCTAGCTGGATGCTTCCAACTCCTGTGTCTGATGTTGATGATGTTTATAGCAATAGACTCTTATTTTCAAGTTCAGGGAGGCAACCAGGGGTGACAGCCAAATTCTATATAGAAAAGAAGATCAAGTTTTCTTTAGGGAAGAGACTCTTGATAGGGTATCCAGTCCCAAGTTGTCAACCCTAAACACTTGCACATAAGAGCAACTGTAAATGGACTTGGTGATATTGTGTGTGTTCATGTTTTGATGTGTGTGTGTGTGTGTGTGTGTGTGTATGTACAGATGAAATTATGACTTTTAGAGAAGGTGTGGAGGAGAGGAAGATTTGAAGGAGGATAGGGAAGAGTGAAAGTGACTGAAATATAGTACTTCTATATGAAATTCTCAAAAACAAAAGCAATAAATTAATTTTTTTTCTTTTTGGATTTTTCAGAAAAGGGTTCTCCGTGTTGCCCTGTCTGGTCATGGATTCACAGAGATCGGACTGTCTCGGCCCCCAAGTGCTGGAACTAAGGTGTGAAACACGACTGCTGCTCAGCCGCTAAATTTTAACAAGGTTCTATGACAACTTATATAATCAGGGGGAGGGACAGCTTAATTAGAAGGACCACATCACGAATCTGCGTCACTCACACATGCTCACCCCTAGTCTAATATTAAGTTTGCTTTGTAGCCTCCAAACACAGCGCAAACTGAAAATATGAGCTTCATAATCCCTGTATTATGTGATTAGGAAGCAGCCATCGAGTAGGGAAGAGAAATCATTTTGAAAGGAAAGGAAAAGCTTCTGAGTGTGATTCGTGAAGCTGCTGAGTTGTACATTTCAAAGATTCAGTTATATAAGTTTCAACTCTAAATAATATTTAAGGTTTATTTCCCTCTCGTGTGTAAAATATATTCTTAATTTGTTTTGAAACTATGATCATTAAAAAAATGACAAATTGAAGTGGATACTTACGGAGGACAATATTGACAAACGTAGTAATATTTCAATGACTGGTTAGGGCACACAGCGAATCCACATCCCACTTGGTGAGTGGTATTCCAAACTAGCTACACACCCAGAGACGAAGACAAGGCACATGTCATAGATAAAAATAATGTAGAAAAAAAAGAGAAAATATAAATTTAAAGCATTGATGTTCTACTTTGTTTCTAGAATCCTTATGGCCATATTTAAATTATTGAATCAATTTACAGATGTTAAAACAGCCTTAATGGGCTCATGTTGGTCACCTCGTCTGGCAAAATTATAAGGAAGTACCCAGTGGAATTTATGGAGGCTGACAGTAGCTTCAGCTCCTTCTCAGAGAAGCTGTTCTTTACTGTCTTTTGCAGTTTCCAAGATGATGAGGATGCAGATGGCTGGGCTGAGGCCAGAAAGCTTCATGGCACAATGAAAAGAATAAAAGAATCTACAGACACCAGAGGACCTTGGTATGATGGGGAATTTCTCTGACACTGCTTCCAACCCTTCAGGTTTATGAAAATAGACAGCAATGGTAACCTGGATATCAGGTCAATTCCTGGTCAGACATCAAATTGACCATGACGCTGTTGCTGACTACCTTGAAGGTACGTACACTGAAGTGTTTTCCAAAAACAAGTGTCCTGTGCCCATAGAGCATTGACCTTGAGAGATGAACCAGAACCTCCTCTCAGCTTCAAAAAGAGGCTGTCTAGTTTGGTACTAAGCTGTGGCCATAAGTATCTTCCTCTCTGTGTGGGCAGGAATAGTGGATGGCTTGCAAGCCTTGCTGGTCCAAGCCTGATGGAAGCCTGCTATGCAGTAACAATAAATATATCCAAGATGTGTATGGTGGGTGCTCCTATGTAGAGATGTGTTCTTGAATTTCCTGGCTCCTATTTGAAACTGTGTTTCAACTCAAGTCTCTCAGTCTACAGGATCTGATTATGCCATGAATTTTGAGTTGCCCCTGCCTATACCACATCTGGATATTTGGATATTTTCTCCATGCAGCCAAGCAGGATTACCACATCACCTTCTCCCCTAGGTTTGACAGACCTTTTTTGAGAGTGGACAGGATAGAGGCATAATCCCGTAATTCTTGCTTAAAGAGCCACTTTGTGATGGGAAAGGGACCAGGGCCTCAGCCTGTATGTCCAGCAGGAAGCCACCTGGCAGAGTTTCTGGTAACAAAACTCCAGGATATACATTTCCCCTTTTAAGTCGGGAGCCATACAGAGCTGATGCGCAACCTTGCCAAAGTCTGTATAAGTGCCTTAGAACACAAGGCATTACCTTTGTTTGGGGGCTGGAGTCAAGAAATGAGGTTTAAAAAATCAAGTATATTCCCTTACAAGGGTTAGATAAGCCATTGAAAGATGGCAGCTCCAATAGCCAATGACTGTCAAGGCCAATTTATAACCGACCACAGAAGATCTTTTCCCAAGGGTGTGTGGCCGGTGTGCACTCTCCCTATACCCCCTGAAAGTGGGAGACCAGTAGGAAGATAGAAAGTTCAAAGTCAGTCAGAGCTACATAGTGAGACCCTCTCTCAAAGAGAAAATAAAAACTCTCTGCACTGAAATTCTGCCTTGAAATCAATCAAGTCATTAAATTTTTTCCCTTGCCCAGCACTAATAGAAAGTACCTTTTCTTACCTGAGTATAATGTCCAACTACTGCACCCGGTGTTGTTGGCCCTTCACCAAACTTAAAATCTTTGTATTCATCATACCAGCTTTGGATAGCCTCAGACCATGGTGCTTGGTAAGATGCCATGAAGAGATTTTCACCACATTTTAAGTCTATGGGAAAAAAATAGACCACTCATGAAGACAGCAATAGAGAAAAAAGAGGAACACACACACACACACACACACGTGCACACACACACACATGAATGGAATCCCTGTTCTTTAAAGACATTGTTTGCAGTTTCTTTGAATAACATAAAAATCATGATTCAGAACTAATGAACCTTCAGCTGAACAGTAGCCAGAGGTATCAACATGTTTGTGCTGAACACCATAAGCACTAATTATAAACGTTTTTTCTTCAGTAGCTTCTGTCTTTGATCTCATTTATTCACACCTTAAATTTTCCATACGTGTGTGTATACGCACACGTATGTGTGCACGCACCCATGAGTGAGCCTCATGTAAAATAAATGTAAATTTGCAGTCATAGAGAAGACAAAGACTAATTCCTTCCATTTCTCTCCTGTACTAGCTAGAGATTTTTAAATAAACATTTTACATATTTAGGATTTTTGTTCTGTGTGAGCATTCTTTGCAGTCATTCTTTCAAAACTACAAGTCCAAAGCAAACAAAAAGAGAAGGAACTATATTTTTACAGTTTATACGTTATGTCTTAACTAGAAAATTAAAATTTTGGGCCATATTTTCTTCAGAGAATGGGAGAAAATATCTTTAACCCTAAAAAATAGTTTAATGTTTTTACCAAGCTCTTTACTTAACATTTACTTTAAACTTTAACTGAATATTGTGGTCTTTTAAATAAAATTTTAATCATTGTGTTATTAAATTAAGAATATCTAAGAGGTAAAATCTTGAAAAGAGGTGATTAATTTACTAGATTCAATTTGGAGAAAAAGATGATCATTTTTAATGTTATTAATTTATTTATTTATTTACTAAAGATTTCTGCCTCCTTCCCCAATCAAGTCCCCCTCCCTCGTCAGCCAGAAGAGCAATCAGGCTTCCCTGCCCTGTGGGAAGTCCAAGGACCACCCACCTCCATCCCCTATCATACAACAAATGTATATGCTCAACTATGTTCATAGCAGCATTGTTGGTAATAGCCAGAACCTGGAAACAACCTAGATGCCCTTCATTTTTAATGTCTTAAGAAATATTTTATCTCATTACCCATTTGTTTATTTTGTAATCATTTTACACTTCCTTATGTGAACATTATGTTTCATAGTTTATTTTTAATTTAACATAATATATCTTTTAGGTACTCAGAGTGTACAGATAAGATACTGAGTTAAAATATGGAAATTATGATTTCATAGGCCAGGGTAAATGACTTAGCATGTACGAGCATGCCTTACTAATTCAGGAGACTTGAACCCAACTCATAGCATCCACACTGGATAACTTACAACCGCCTGTGACAGCAATACTGTATCCACCTGTGACCTGTAAGCATCAGACGATCTGACACCTTCTTCTGGCCTCTAGAAGCACTTTTACATACGTACACACAGGCATAAATACACATAGACACACTTGCACATAATTTAACAAAGAGTGAAATAAGAGATTCCAGTTTTAAATTTCCTTTATAAGATCTTAATTAGTAATTATTTTCATCCAGACTTTGGTTCAAGTCTGCAAAACAGAGAAAGCAATGATCCAGACCTTGTTACACTTGTGATCTGGTCACAAAAAGCAAAGCTGCCATCATGAAACACAGTTTCTGTAAAATATAAAGCATCCAAAAAGCACAGAATGGAGCCTTTCAGAAATACTTAACATTTCTTTATAAGGCAGAGATACTTAACTTTTTTAAAAGGCAGAGATACTTAGATTTTTTTGAAAGGCAGTGTCAGAATAGGCATTTATTCACAACTTGTTTTAGCATGATATCATAAAATGGGCTTTCCTGTGTTTATTCTCTATTTATTTATAAGTGATTTTGAATATACATACTTTTGATAGTCCTGTATTCTTGAGGACTATGTTGATGAGTGCACTTGTCTGCCCAGGCCTGTGCATTTTTTTGGGCCTCACTGTTCCACTCCTAAAGATTAAAAGGAAAGAAAAAAGCCATGTGAAAACTCAGACCTCAGAGTCACATGATCTTTGCAGACAGGCTGATATGAGTGCTTTAATCATTGCAAAAAGGTAGGCACCTTCAGACTGTCATCGGAATCAATATATAATGTAGGATATATCTGAGTTTTTATGTAGCATATATATTACCAACTCTCATTACAACATTTATAAATAAGTTTATTTTTGCATATTTTCCTCCCCCATCTTCCTGATCCTGCTTATCCTCTCATTCATGCCCTCCCACCTTTAACCTTCCTTTGATGTCACACATGTTCTATTTAGTTCTTACTGTATCTGCTATAGTCCATGTCTACCCTCTCTTGATCTTCTTGGTAGTTTCATAATCTATGTCCAAAGTTACTTTGAACTTCTATGTGACCCTTTCTGTACCAAATAAATACAAGTAGTCTGTCTTCCTAAGGTCATCAAAATACTAAAATATTTAATGGTCTGATGACTTCCTGAAATCACAACAGGATCCCTTAAAGACTTTGAGTGCTTATTGTACTATGAGTAGCACTAACCACGTGGAAGTGCTAGGACTATTTTTACAGCCGTAAGAAGGAGCCTCATAAATCCTAGTTTCATTCTTTTCCCTCATTGAATGAATTGAAGAGACACGTGGACTTTGGTTTTTAATCCAGTAAAGGAGACTAGTTAGATAAAAGGTCATTGAACCTTAAAGGAGAGATGTTCTGTCTGAAGATTAAGAGAGAGAAGAACATCCACCAAAATAACATACTGGATTTTCACTACAGACCAAAGTCAAAAGATTTGATTTTGAACTCTGTCACTATAATTGTTGTAGCTCCACAATATCAATGAGTTACTGTGATGAAAGAAACTTAGTAAATTCTACTCTGATCAAGCACAGCTAAAGACACAAACTAAGTCCAATCTCTACGTGGATGCTCACACACAAACACACACACACACACACACACACACACACACACACACACTCAGACAAGTAAACATGCTCATAAGCAAAGCACTGAATACTTTTTCGGTTAAAAAGAGATGCTAGAATAGAGGCAAACCCTCCTGAAGCACACAGGAGAAGCCAAGTGCTATCTGCAGGCTCCAAACATAGCTCTCCAAATGCAGTGTTTTGTTGTGAGCCCTCACCATCTTCAGTAAGTCACTACCAGGTGGATCAACCTTTCGTCTCAGGTCATTGTGTTTGTTTACAATCTCTTCTTGGGTTGACTCATTATCAGTTGACAAATCCTCAAGGACTTGATTCTAAAGAGAAATAAAAATAAAGTCACGTTAGTGTCTGTTAAAGTTGTACAAAAAGGTGACTAAGTTGGATAAGATAAATGAAGGTCTTTGTTAAAGGACTCATGAAAATGTTAGCCGTTAAAACTTCATAATTAATGTTAAGAAAATCTATGACATTTTCATAAGAAATACTTTAAACAGAAATTTTGAGGCTATAAAAGAATTCATGACATGTCAAAGTAAAAACTTTTCTGAGGATACCTACAAATGTCAATATTGACTTAAGAGAGAGCTGTAATGATAGCCATACATAGTAGAGAAACTTAACACATTCAGACTCATTTATATTGTAGCAAGAAAGTGTTAAGGAAGAAGACACATAATAGATTCTAGATCTTAGTAAGCAATAGCCATCTTATCAGGTGTTTGGACGTTTGTGAGATAATGTGTAGGCCCCAGACCTAGTACAATGTGTGCATTCAACATTTTATTACAATAAGAGAATTTTATGTGTGACGGATTTTTGTGGTCAGTCTCAAGACAGGTTTACCTAATATTCACGTAAATTTGGAGACAATGAGTTCCTGAAAACAGTTGAATATTTCTGACTTTATGCTTCAGTGAACAGAAATAAGCCAGCTAAGTTAACTCAGATGCTAATATTTAAATTTACATTTTTTTTTCTGTGTGGGACAGGAGGATGTAATGATATTATGTGAGTTGACAGAGATGTAAGAGCCACTTTTTTTTGGTAGAAACATACTCCAAAACGTACTGTTTTATAGGGAAGAACAAGATGTTACAGCATAATTATTGATGGACACACCCTCACATATATTTTATCTTCCTGCTTGGAGAAGTTGTTTCTCCTTCCTACAGTACTTACTCCCACAAAACTCTGCAGACATGGCACCATGGATCTAGCCACACTGCAATGCCAGTGTCTGCTACATGTCCATCTCTCCCTAATATTTTATGTTCTGAAGACACTGATGAGAGCCTCGTGCCAAGAGATCTCTCACAGCCAACGCTCTGTAAGGCAGAAAGGATGTTCATGTTAAAGTTGTTGCTTGAAAATTCTCATGTTTTATTTTAATGTAAAGAAACAACATCGCCAGATGTTTATTGATTAAGGGATTGGCATCATTTTCTAATACATGTATTTGAATTAAGCATACATGTTTGTGTTTGAATTTATGTAGATGACTGCAATGCAAATGAACGTCTGAAGAGAATACTAGATTCCCTGGAATTGAAGTTAAGGTGGGTGTAAGGAACCTCAGGTGGATGCTGGAAACCAAATGGTCCTCTGCAAGAGTAGTAAATGCTTTTGTCCCCCAAGCTACCTCTCCAGGCCCTCCCCCCAAACATTCCATTTTAACCTGAAAACATACTTAAAGTTGTTTTATTTCTAAAGACAAAATATATAGCTTCTGAGAAAGTCATTATTATTTTCTGCTTGTTATCCTACCTTCCATGGAAGATAAAAATTCCACCAGACAATAAGTGTGCTTATACAGGCAGTGGTACAGATTAAAAATAAAAACATACTAGAAACACTGAAATGTGAGAACAAATTGTGAGAGGGCTTATATTGGATGGGTGATAGGACCTAATAATTACAACACCAAAAAGCAAAGCCAAGAGGAACAATAGTAAGTTGACAGCTGGAGAGGAATCAGTTCTTCATGGCAGCTCTCAAAGAAGCCTTCATTCCTAAAAGAGGACTCTGAATATCTCTGCTATTTGGATCTTGACAATTTATAAAGAAGTACCAGTAGACCAAAGAGAGAGGGAGAAAGAAGGGAAAGAGAATAGATGATTCAAAAGTGCCATAAAACACTAATATTTTTTTAAAAAAGAAACTGGGAATGCCAACAGATTGAAAGAACACCTAGATAACAAATGGTTTCAAGATTGCTAATTTGTTTATTGTAACAAGATATATAACGTATATTTAAAAACAGGTTTAACCAGTTACTGGCACTCCCTACTCTTGAGGAATTCTAATAGTCTCCAGTGCAGAGGCCGAAGAAGTGTATGAAGGCTACAGCAATGCCCAATCCTCCTAATTTTATTAGATTTCTAAACAAAAGGAGAGTAACTTTGCTGGCCCTACACACTCGATCATGAAAGAAGATAACTGAACCGTATCTAGGATTACCTAAACATAAGAACAGATTATAAGTAATTGCTATTTGCCTCATGTACAAATTTATTGTTTCCATAGTAGACGTACTTAACATCTCCGGTGTGTTAAGTGTGTGTGTGTGTGTGTGTGTGTGTGTGTGTGTGTGTGTGTGCGTGAGTGCTCATAATCGCGCACACATTACAAGGATCAAACCCAGGGACTTGTGCTTTCTAAGCAAGTGTTGCTAAGCATCATCATCATCTCAATCCTAGCAAACTTTTAAAATTGTAAATATAGTTATAATTTTCTCAAACACTACCTATGAAAGTTACATACAGAAATGAGTAAGTTGAAGCCATGCTAAATTTGAATATAATATCAGTTGTCTATGAGGACCACATTGAAATGGATTAAAGAAAATAATAACAGCTCATGGAACAGAAAATTTAAGAAATCAATCAACAGATATGAAAATTCCAATACAAATATAACTCAAATATCATGTGTAATTTTAATTTCTTGAACTCATTAAAAAGAAAAAAATTTAAATTAATATCAATATTTCTACTTAAAAACTATAACAAAAATACAATTTAAGTGACATTAAATCAAAATGTATTATATTTGCATCCAGCCCAATCTTCGATATCTACTTTGTGTGATAAATGTATGCCTGTTTCATTCATGTGTACCATGACCTTAACCTCTGTTTAATATTAACTTGTACTTGGGGCTACAAGGTCATTCGACATAGTTTAAAAATAGTGTCAACTGCTCTAAACTATCAATGAGTACTTTGAGACTTACTCCACAGTCTGGCTTTTAATAGTTCTAAAGAGTGGTCTGACAGCTTCCTAGCCTTCATCGTTGCCTAAAATGTTCTGAGAGGATATTAAACCTTACCCATACCTCATAGTTATCTTGAAGGGATAGGGGCAGCATAGCAGCCAGGAACAACAACAATGGGAATGATGTCATGTCTAGAAAACAAAGAGGAGAAAAAGACCAACATTACTATGTTTAGTACAGTGGGTTCTGAGTGATGGAGAATATATGGAGAAAGTAATGGGCTCCATACCCCAGATTTACTACCACTATAGCAAGGAGGACATACTGTTTATATCATCCAAATGTTAATAAAATCAGCTCAAGAGGACTGAAGCCCTCCACCCCCATGCAATAAGGAACAAATCAAAGAGCCTACACGAAGCAGGCACCTATGATGGCTCTGAGTAATCAGCTTCTCCTCCCTCTGTCACACTCTAATTTATGGGAATCTCGTGGGATTCTAGGAATTTAGGAATTCTTCTTGTGTTTTTCAAGAGTAGCAAAAGCTCTCATCTATCACCTTGACAGGACACTACTATGACATGATTAACTTTTGTTGGATATTTTAAGATATGCCTACTCCATTATATGGTGTTTGTTTGTTATTCATTCATTCAAAGTTTTTATTTTGTTGTCTTTTTGAGAAAAGATGTCACTATCTGGCCCAGTGTAGCTTCAAACTAACAAGTTTGCCTGACAGTCTCAAATGCTGAGACATATCTGTACATTATCAAACACAACTCTATCATTTTGGTTAAGTCAAGGGCCTTAGTGTCTTAATACATTTTACATTTGCTATCAAAGTCTCATCAATAATGCCAAGTCTGAACCTGAAAACCTTAAACTCTCCTCACCGTATTTTATATATAATGGTAAATGTATGATAAGTTAATGCCATGTACAAAAATAGGGAAAACAATTTAAATAATTTGGAATGCATTCTCTTATTAAAGGTATTAAGTAAAACACACACACACACACACACACACACACACACACACACACACACTTGAATGTGTGCCAGTATGAAAGTATTTGTATAAGAATGCATGTTTAGACATTGGGAGTCCTTAAATGCTCTCTATCTTCTAAGTTGACAAGGGATCTCTCAGGGGTCCCAGAGCTCACTAGTTCAGTTAGTCTGGCTACACAGCTTGCTCTGGGTATTCTCCATCTAAGCCTTCTGCCTGCACTGAAACTTTTAGCATGTGGTCACACCATCTGGCTTTAAAATGGATTCTGGTGATTTAACTCCACACCCATGTTTGCATAGCAAGTGCACACTCTATTGAGACAAAGTGCCAGCACCTACAGCTTGCTTTTAACGATTTTTCCTAAGGAGTGAGAAAAGTTTTCCTTACTCTACAACGAATAAAGGTCTATGTAGATAAGATACAGTACATAAATAGATAATTTTCACGGAATTTTCCAAAGCACTCTTTACCTTAATCCAGGCACACAAAACAACATAGACTATGTTTGATGTCACTTGTTACATGACTCTCTATGAGCTTCCTTTAAAACTCATAAAAACCTACTAGGCAGATACTGTGACTCAATATCCCACTTACACATGAGCAATCTCAGTATTAGAGATTTAATACTGAGGTGTCATGAGAATTCAGGGAACACAGCTGAAACGCAAGCACCGTCTCTTTGGCTTCAAAGCCCTAAGCTCCGAGAGACAGAGACTGAGATGCTTTACAAGATTATGCACACCAGGAAACACGTCAATCAAACCCCACAGAGGTATGTGGGGGTGAACGCTTTACAGGAAGAATCACATGATAACCAGTCATATTCTCCTGAGTATTGCCTATAATATTTTCTAAATTCCAATGAAATGTGTAATCTTCACTTAGCTTGCTTTGCTAAGTGAATCTATGACACAGTCAATGCAGAATATAAGTTCTACAAGACTGTTAAATGTCACTATAGACACAATCTGGACAAATGTCATATAAGGACAACAGTCTTGTCAGTTCTTGAAAAGTATTCTTTTTTTTTTTCTTTTCATTTTCCAAGAAAAAAAACCCCTGCATCCTTAAATCTTCTGGGCAGTGCCACTGGAATTCAGAACTGTGCCTGATCTACAATACTTGAAATTTCTGGCACTCCTTTGTGCAATTTGCCAGTGTCTTTTATAAAATGAGCTATCGCACCTCAAGGGTTGCCACAGTACACTCTATAATCAATAGATCTCAGGATTGACAATTATCATAACCTTGACTGCTTTTGATACAACATCAGGAATTTGGCCAGATTGGAACGCACTATAGGTTCAGATGTCAACTTGCTGAGTACATAGTTTAAGCATTTGGGGAAAGACATCAATATATGCCCTTGGGGATTGTAATCTTCTCCAGTGTCATATAATTCCATTTTTATTGCCATTAAGTAGTATCATAATATCTTAATATTCTCCAGAAAAATTTCTTGTCTGCACCAAACACAAATACCTATGAGGGAAACTGCTTTGTCATATAAGATATACACATATTTTATGCATGTAAAAAAACTACAAGCTACTTGAGTCTATTTACCTATGATGAGAAAAATAAAGTGTTTCAGTTTTTGCTTGTCTTGAATGTATTTATGAACCAGTTATATATTCTTCTGATGACCACCAATAACACATTTATTTCAAGTTCAGTGCTATAAGGTTGATTTTGCGAATGTAAACTTGTGAGGAAACCTACCTTCTCATCTAAAATCTAATAATATTTGCATCAGTGCACAGAAAATTCACTGCATTCATAAATCATAGTTTTAGTAAAGATACCTCTAACACAACTACTTTGAAAAGCCATAGGCATTATTTATGATTGTAGAATAAAAAAATCATTCCCACATCTTTGTTAAAAGTCTATTCCAGGATAACAAATAAGGTACTTAAATCATGTATACTTAGTTTTACAAGATTAAATAAAAACAATTGTTCTTAATAAGATTATCAGTACAGTTCAACAACATACAGATGCAAATTATTAACTATGAAATTTTGCTGCTGATGTGTTGTAAAGGCGTTGGCATAAAGAGATTCATCTAAAATAAAGGAGTGTTACTTACTGCTGGTGTCCAAGCAGAATGAGGTGTTTGTCCCACTGGAAGAAAACACTGATGACAGACAAGAGTGGAAACTGTCTATATGTACTCTACCTATTTCCTGTTTTGGCACAATGTGGTTGGACAAGCACACCTTGGTTAACAAGGTATGACACAGGATCTGTCATGCTAGATTTGATAGTTGGTCATCTAACTGAAATTTTGACATCATACGGTGACTCTGCATATGGTTATCAGAAACAAATCAATAGAGAATTTTACTAGCACTTTAGTGCTCATCTAGTGTTATAATGTATCTATATATTTTCAATAGATGCTTTGAAAGCTCTTAACCAATTCATTTTCATCTTATCAGAGCTGTATTTATTTTAAGGGGGCTGTAGAGGTGACTGAGTGGTTAAGAGTAACTTATGTTCTTACAGAGAATAATGAGTTCTCTTTCTTCCACCCACCTCAGGTGTCTCACTACTGCTTGTAACTCCAGCTAAGAGGACTTGACAGCTTCTGGTCTTCCTGAACAATTTATTCAATTATGTCTCTACAAGGAACATATAGATATAATTAAAAAAAAAATCATTCCCTTAAGATGATCATGATCTTATACATCTCATGATCCCTGGAGAGTTCAAGATTCTTTCACAGAAATACAGAACCTGCATGACTAATTGTTGGGTAGTATTGCTTTGGAAAACAATTGTGTCTTTTTCCTTTGCAAATTCAATGTGATAGTGCCTTTCAGAGTATATTGGCAAAGAACCCCAGAGCCCTCTGATATTTTTAAGATCCCTTGCATTAGCATTATTTTCCGGTTGAATGAAGTTGAACACAACATTGAGCAATATATCAATTTTGTATCCTTTGATTGTGTAGATTCACACAATGTTTTCTTGTTTTTAAGAATGTTCCCGCATAACAAAATTGAAGCAAGACAGACGAATGACAGAAAATTTCTTAAGCAATGATGTTAAGAATCTTTTTTGATAAATAAGTGAGAATAAATTAACCAAAATAATACATACATAGCACTGAGACGCAGCTTGCGATTTGTTGTCAATATACTCTTTCCTCATTTCTCCCAACTTTGTTACCCTTTCTTCACTGACAATATTACAGCAAATGTTAATTCTTCCTGACTCATGTTTCCTAATTGTATGCCCCAGAGAATGTTCAGTTTTCTTTTTGGCTGGAATGTTAAATTGGTAAACTGATTCTTTGACTGTACTATATTTATATTTATTATATTTCATTTGTATACTAATAAAACTTGTAACTCAGTACATGTGATTTGCTGAGGAAGCATAATTCAGCAAAAAGCTGTATGGAAGGGAATGAATCTAGACAGGGGATGTCCAAAATCTAGACAGTAATATGCGTTTAGGTGAAATCTAGTTTATTTCAATCAAAATAATTAATGTTCAAGACAATCCCTTCAAAACATACATGTTAGATTTACAGCTCTATGGATAATATAAGCTAACTCAATTTATGTGTACAAAATGAAATGATAAAAATCAAGGTATTTAACTGTGATTTATGACTTCGTGTTTTCACCTTGTAGTTTGCATCTCCTAGTTATCTGTGATTTATCTATCAAGTCATCATGGTGACCCCTTTGTATGCCATAGGAAATCGGAGATTATTATTTTTTCTCTGTTTTGAGACATGTTCTCTTCTCTCTCTCTCTCTCTCTTCCACTATACACCATTGCCTTGGAGAGTTGTTGCTCTATATTCAAATTGCTTTTTCCAGTAATCAATATTTCACACATTTAATAATACATTTAAACAGATTCTGTGACATTGCAATGAATAGTTGGTATACTAAGACATGGTTACAACAACAGACATTTGTTACTAAACAAAATAAATAGATGATAGATAGGTAGGTAGATAGATAGATAGATAGATAGATAGATAGATAGATAGATGATCAGAAATTATTTTCTAGTTCTGTCACTCAGCATATAGGAAGTATACTGCAGGAAATCTAACATGTATAAACTGGGAGTAATAGCACATTTCTTAATATATATAAATATTCAGTGGATTTTCTGCCACAGTTTTACCACTCATTTTGTTCATCATGTATAAATGAGTCAGAGCCATTTCATGTATTGATTAAATAAGTAATCTAAATGATGAAGAAGTAATTTTTATATTTACAACTTTTGAAATATATCAAATTATGTTCATTAAACAGACCCAGCAGTAAGTCCTTTCTTTTAGTGGTTGATAAACTTCTTCAAGATACAAGATAGGTTTAAGTGTCTATCCCACTATATCACCTTCTTCCTTTTTCCCTAGTATGTTTGCAAAACTGTAGAGATAAGCACAGTGTGATTGATATTCATTTTTGTATTTCTCATTACATAGATAATTTCTCTTAATTATTTCATGAAAAAAGACCCATAGTTTTACCCATTTTGTAATTTGATGTTAATCTTTGATCTTAACTTTTATAGCTTTATGTTCACTTTTGTACTAGTTTTACAACAGTCAGGAAGAAAGTTAGGGACCCTGAAGGAAACAAATGCTACTTTCCGGAGAGATAAGGTCAAAACAGCTGTCTATTTAATAAAACCATATAAGCATAGTCAACATATTCATTTAGAAATCCAGACCTGAATGATTAAATCATGTCATATTGATTTTTTCTTGTCTGCATATTTTAAACGATAATAAAACATCGTAAATGCCAGTGAGTAGATACATCTTCCCCAGGATGACACCTCCTGGGAAGGAGGTACTTGTTGACCCATGGAAATCTCTTGATCAGGGCCAGAAATAAAAACTGTTGGCCAACACATACAACATCTAAGTACAAAGTCTTCTCAGAATCCTTCTTTGTGCTGTGTTACCTCTTTGGTATAGACAAAGAGAATCAGGCATACTATGACATTTGCAGTGTTGTAAAAGAACATACCATAAAGGTAATGTTGAATAGTTAAGACATTTATCATATATGTAACTCACCCATTATCATATCCAAAGTTGAGCACAAAAATGTTTTAGGATTAGATATTGAATTATTGAATAAATAAATAAAGAAAAAATGAAAAAAAGAGGAGGGAAAAGTAGGCTAATTTAGAAGGACAGGGAGGGAGGAGAGACAAAGAACAGTAAGACTTCTTTCTGGAAAAGCTCTAAAGAACCATGTTATTTATATATTTCTAAAATTACATATAATACATATAAGTATATATAAATACTCCCATATATACATACATACACACACAACTTAGTTATGTCAATGAGGCTGATAATATTCTCTATAAGAACCATCTAAAAAAAATAACTCCAGTACCTGATTAGAAAGTTCAGTTGAATTTTTGATCAGTGGAATCCAAGTAACTCTCAGAACAATACAGGTTATTTTGCTGTTGCCCTCCATTGCTGCCTAGGTGTTAAAGGTAAGTTCCTCTTTCTGAAGACACCACATACTTCTGATACAGGACTCTGTCTGAGCTGGCTCTGATCTGAAAACTTCCTTCCAGAAGTTGCTATGCAAGATGCCAATAGAGAATAGCAATCAGTAGTCCTCATCAGGTGCTATGCCTATGAACCATAATGATGACAAGATTGGTAAGATATCTGTAAAGATGCAATAACAGCACTCTTTTGTTGGCTGTCACCAACAACTGTCGAGTTGAACTTAAAGATCCCTCACAAAGGTGTAAATGATGCTTGGTACTATAAGCCTAGCCAACTACCCAGGGCTACTTACGTCATGGATCTTAGAGAATTTACCATCACTTTACTAGACCAATATAATTCCTACTTTGAAAAAACGCCATCTGCTCGAATTATTCAGAACTGGTGTAGTATGAATAGGGCTTACCACCACCCAATATACTAAGACTTGATTGTGTAACTGTACCAGAGTTATAGGGGACAATTAAATAAGAACAATGCTTTTCTGGTGGGAACAATATCTATTTGTCTCAATACTGGATCATTAAATGTCAATGCAGTAACAAAGCAAACGTTTGGTCTCGGTTTCTATGTAATCTCTCTTCCACATTTATAGGCTTTCCACAGTAATATGCCAGCAGACTGCAGGATATTGACTTCTCTGCTTCTCCAACAATGGGCCCAAACAATTCTCTTTCCTTTATAGTTCACCAGTTCTCCAGTTTATTGTTGCCTTAACAACACCAATGGATTAAGACAAAAATACATTATAAAGGTACATAAAGTCACTGGTGTGGTTTACTGCACTATAAATAACTTCATCCCAATGTGCTTGTTGTCCTAACTTCATGGGAAGGTGAACAATAGAGGCGGCGGCAGAAGTAAAAAAGGGGAAAATATCTCATCTATATCTATCTATCTATCTATCTATCTATGTCTCTTTCTCTCTCTTTCTTTCTTTCTTTTTTTCTTTCTGCACACACAGACATGCACATATCACTTAGAAATCTCCCAGAGAAAAATCTAGAGCTCAATAAAAATCTATTTAAAAAAGAAACTGCACAGAGAGAGAGAGAGAGAGAGAGAGAGAGAGAGAGAGAGAGAGAGAAATCTCCCATGTTGTTAGCCTAAGAATTTCATTGGCTTGGCACATGTTTATATATAATGATTTCTAGTAAAGCTCCTCTGATCAATAAAACCAAGGATTGCGGTCAATATTCTATCATATTGATTCTATCAGAATCAGTGACAAAGTAAATCTCTTATTCAAAAATGGTTTGTTAATTATGCTTTACACAAAGTACTAACATAAAATTATGAATGATGTGAAAAGCATGTCTCCAAAGTGTTAAAAAGATGGAATATGTGTAAAAGCTCTTTTATTCAAGGATAATAGGTTAAGTGCTCTTTTCTTTAAAAAAAATAAAGAATATTATCTGTATAAATAGAACATTTTCACATATGAAAAATTGAAGATAGGTGGGAACAAAAAGTGATTAGATTTTGAGCCTTAATAAACTTAATTAATAAAACTTCTATTTTTTATTTTAGCTTCCCTGGGAAAGGTGTATATTTATTTCTATTAGAACTACTACCGTTACCAGTCATATATATATATGAAAAAATGAAAAAATGAGATATATATATATTATTTTATATATATATTATATATCTTATATATAATATAAGATAAATATATATAATATATATTATATATATATTATATGATATATACTTTATATATATCTTATATTATCTTATATGATATATATTATATATATATTTATCTTATATTATATATAAGATATATAATATATATATAATAAGATATATATATCTTATTTTTTCACTTTACACACAAAAACCTGTTTACCCTCCATACCCTTACCCCTCACCTCCTGTTTTCCCACCACCCCATTGACTCCTCAGAGGTGTTAAGTCCTCCTTTGGGGAGTCAACAATATCTGGTATACCAAGTTGAGGTAGGACCAAGTCCCTCCCCCTGTATAAACCTTCACTTAAAAGAAAGCTATTTTCATGGTAAGTTAGTTTTTGCTTCGTTTTTCTTTTTGTTTATCTGTTTGGTTAGTTGAGATTTACTTTGTATGCTTGTTTGTTTTCAGAATATGATTCTATAGCTAAGAGCATATGCATATATAAATATATATATATATTACATATATGTATATATATAATCTCTTCTTTATTGAATGTTTCAGAGATTCACATCATGAACCCCAATTCTTCTCACCTCCTGGTTCCCCCATATCCTCCCTGATCCCTGCCACTCTCCCCCACATTAGGAAACAAATCAATGTAGGCAAGCAAACAAAAGCAAAAACAAAAACAAACTCCAACAAAAAAAAAACAAAGAGCACAACAACAGAAAAATCTCTTTGCTTCTTCTTTCCTGCTTCTTCAACTCCTTTTCATACACTCTAATGGCAATGGGGGTTTCAGTGTCATATAGTAAACCTCTTTGTCCCATCAGTTTTACTGGCAAATGTTCATTACAATGAGTCATGGGTCTGGTTCAAGGCCTCTGGTTTCTGGTACACCACCATCACTGAATCCTCACTAGATCTTTGGTATATCCTGTGACTGCCACAAGTCTTAGAGATCTTGCAGGTATTATTTCACAGGACCAGTCCCACCAACTCCAGCAGGTCCTAGATGGGGTAGTGCTAGAGTGAGTCAAATCACCAAATCTCAGTGTAGGACTGGATAGTAGCCAAATTGATCACTCCTGGCCCTGAGGCCACCTGCCTAGGGCAAGTGGGTAGAGTCAGCTCCCCTACATGCATGCCCTCAGGGGTTGGTACACCCTGGTCTGTGGTGATAGCATCAAGTCATCTCTACAGCTTTCAGGGGCCAGCTTTCTTGCTATAATGGTCAACGAGAAACAAAACCAGCTTTCCCAGGGCCAGTGAAGGGCAGACTGGCTCAGTGAGGCCTTCTGATTTCATCTCACATGGTTCCTAGGGCCTCATGGTTCACAGGGCACCGGTATCATCACAGATCCCAGTTATAGCTCGATCACAGACCCAGCAATGGCCCTAGGCAACAGCTTGTTCCCTGTTAATGTCCTGACTCTGGGTAAAGGGACTGGCCACTTAGGTGGGAAGGGCTGCAGTCCTAACCTTGGGACTCTGTGACCTTTATTGGCAATTCAGGACCAGGACTTCAGCACACTCACCACTCTCAGTAGAACCATTGACCCAGACATGGTCCTCCTCAGTGACTGGGTCTGCAAGTCATTCTTTTAAATGATGAATCAATCAAATGAAAGAAACATGCTGCTGCTTACAAAACTAATCAACTTAACTTTATGTTAAATTAATAATATCGTATGTTTAGCCTTATTCTCGTTGGTCATTAATTTTATTTCATAAACATACATATTCAGGAAATTATTCATAGACATTTAGAGTTGCTTTGGTATAATTAGAGTAACTTATTCTTTTGTAAATATAAAAATATACCTATGTTAATTCTCTATGTTTTAGAACGTTTTAAAACTTGAGTACTGAATTAATGGAAATTGTAGATGCTTGGGAATTAGGACTATCTCAAGGGTGTCATGAACGTAAAGACCTTACTTCTCACAAATAAATAAAACAAACTTAAGCATATTATGATAGCATTGACATTTTTTGAGAACTTCCACTAATTTTAATACCCATGTAGGAGTCATTGAAAATTGTTGTATCGCCAATGATTAGATGCAAGGAAATTAATTCTACCCACTGCATTACCCCTAAATATGTAAGATAATTCCATTTACATAGGTAAGCAATTAGCAAAGATTAATTATTCATTGTTGTGGAAAAGTATGAGGAAGGAAGACATATATGCTTTATGACTGGATCAGGAAACATATGTGTTGGTAATCCTGTGAGGATGTAAAAGATGGGCAGCATAATTTATAAATGATAATGCATTTTTCCGTGGCTAAATAAACAGTATGGTACTTATAAATATACACACAAAAAATCACCTAATGTTCAGAAATTAATGACTAATTTTTCAATCATCTTAGTCAGTGTTCTCATATGATTGATGGCAATATTCTCAACACAAATGATCATAATGGAATAACAAACTTTAGCATTGTATATATTAATTAATTCTCACTAAAGCCTGCCTTAAATTATTACTATCTCCAATTCTTACAATAATTCTTCTGTCCTTAGCAATGAAAATGCCTTGAAGCCTTGAACCTTGATTACATGATAAGAGTTTTTCATTGTAGTGATGTACAAACAAACTGAAAGGGAAAAACATACATCATAATTTTATTGGATGCTGGAAAAGCCTTTGACTAAACCCAATATCCCTTTATAATAAAATTCTTAGAAAGATCATTGATACTAGGAACATACCTAAACTTAATGAAAGCAATATAGAGCAAGCCAACAATGATCAAAACAAATGGAGAGAAACTTAAAACAATTCCACTAAAATCAGGGACAAGAGAAGGCTATCCACTCTCTTCGTATCTTATCAATATAGTAATTGATGTTTTAGCTAGAGCACTAAGACATGAAAGTAAATAAGGGGGATACAAATTGGAAAGGAAGACATCAAAGTGTCACTATTTGCAGATGATATGATATTATACATAAGTGACCCCAAAAGTTTTACTAGGGAACTCATACAACTGACAAATACCTTCAGGGAACTGGCTGGATACAAACTAACTTAACAAACAAACAAAAATAGTAGCCCCCCTATATATAGCCAATAAATTAGATGTAGAAGAAATTAGGAAAACAATACCCTTCATACAATAGCCACAAATGATCATGATATAAGTCTAACTAAGCAAGTGAAAGATCTTTATGGCAAGAACTCCAAGACTTTGAAGAAAGAAAATGAAGAAGATATCAGAAGATAGAAAGATCTCCCTTGCTCATAGATTGGTAGGATTAACATAGTAAAAATGGCCATTTTACTAAAAGCAATCTACAGATTTAATGCAATTCTGATCAAAATCACAACACCACTCTT